TTGGAACAAAAAAAAAATAAAAAAGCAAAAAAAAGGGGTTTGAAAATAAAAAAAAAAAAAAAAAAAAAAAAAACAAGACACGAGACGAAAAATAAAAACAGGAGACGAGAAACCCAAAGACGGAAAAGACGGAGGAGGGCGGGTGAAGGAGGAGACAGAGGAGTTATAAATGAAGAACAGAGAGGAGGAGGAGGAGTGCGGCTTTGCAGTCATTAATTAGCCCGTTAGCTAGGGCCCGGGCGGTGCGGTTAGGGCCTGCGTCTTTGTGGGCCTGAAGGAAATGGGCCACATATGAGAGCCATTATAGGAACTGACTTAACAAAGACACATGCCTGTCAGCCACCAGGCTGGGCTGGGCCACTCGGCTCATACGGCACACACAAAGGGCCCCGCCACTGCTACCAGCATGTCTGTGTGCGTGTGTGTGTGTGTGTCTGTGTGCGTGTGTGTGTGTGTGCGTACGTTGTTTGTGCCAGAGCAAGGCATGAACTGTCCACATGTGCGTGATTACGCGTTAACGCCAATTGTCTCTTCTTGGCGTAGCGTTGAAAACAAATACGCACATGATTTCCTTTGGTTTGGCTGTTCTGACTTACTTCCATCTTTCAGCTCATCAAACTAATTTTAACTCCAGACAGAAGATAACGTGAGTAAACGCGAAGGTGCACCTGACCTAAGTGTTAGAAACTGACAGCTGAACACTCTTCAGGCTGCAGAGAAGAATTTGTAGTTTCATCGATAACGGCAAAACGTCAAGGTCACCAACAAACTACCACTGCCATGTTTCACTGTTCTGACTGATATTTTCTTGATTGACAAGAATCATGAGTCAGCAGGATATTTAGACAAAAGTCTTGAGTGATCATCAACATGTGAGAGGAGCCTTTGTGATTTTGGTCATCAGACCTTCACGCCTTGGAACGCCGTTTCGCTCCATCTCTTTGTGTCGAGTCGACAGTGCTAGCTGCATTTATTTTACAAATTGGCGCAAAACTTTGGTATTTATTCCTCTAATGTCAAACCCCCCGCAATTTCACAACTGCGGTGCTTTTCATAGCATGGCTGATTCGCCCCAAACCAGGAGGTGGAAATATTTTCTCTCCTTTTTCTTTTTGTTTATGACATTTTAAAAGTTTGCTCAAAATTTGCATCACAATTCAATATAAACATAGCTAATGACGCAATTAGTCGTCTTTCTTAGATCTCTTTGGCTCGGGCTCCGATATGTTGTATGTTTAGCCTACTTCGTGTTGTCGGACGAGTCCTGTGTAATTATTTTTTACTTCCAGCCTAGATGTGGCTGATTGGACTAAAACAAAAGACTTAGATCAACTAAAGTTAATTTATATTTTGCCAAAGAAGGTCATTACTATTTTAAAACCGGTTTTAAAATAGTAATGTTGGTATTTTTTACCATTATCAGTTAAAATCATTTGAAAACTGTAACTAACCATTATTCTAGTGATTGATTAATCTATCGATTATCCTCATGATTAATCAATTAATCGGTTAACCAAAAAAGAGACACATTCTGCAAATTTTTCATTAAACTGTCTAAGCCTTTTCTATACAATATTAGAAATATAATATAAGATGGAAATAAACAAATAAATACATTTCTCTTCTAAAAAACAAAATTTACATTTTATTGCTTAAAATGCAATGATGTAACATTCTCTTAGTGAATGTGGAGATATATATATATATATATATGTACATATATATATATATATATATATATATATATGTGTGTGTGTGTGTGTGTGTGTGTGTGTGTGTGCGTGTGTGTGTGCGTGTGTGTGTGTGTGTATGTGTTATTTTGTTCAGTTTTGGAATAAGTACTGCTTTGAATATGTTTTTCTTTTCAGCAAATGTTAATGATTAATCGATTGCTAAATTAGTTGACGATTATTTCAGTAATTGATTAATCACAATTAATAATTTAAGCCCTGATTTATGTTTACTAATGTTATTTTTTGTCTTATATTAGATGTTATTTGATGATCTGAAACATTTAGATGTACTAAAAAACCCCAGCAGACTCTATGAGGAGGTAAGTGATTTTTCCTGAGTCTTGCATTTGGTCGCTCCACTGTGTTCACGTTTTGTAAGTATATCTAGCAGAATGTGGCCTTCGGAAGCATTTCTTTAACCCCTGCTTGTCTCCTGCTGGCTTTCTGAACCATTTAAAACCACATGACAGGAAACCTAGGACACTTTGAACTCCGCTCCCCCCCTCACAACCTCCCTGCTCCCCAAACCACCACATTAGCTGACAAACACATTCACACCATCCAGGGAACGGAAGCAAGAAAACAGGAAAATATACAATAGAAAACAAAACAAAACAAAAAAAAGCTTTCTGGGTTTTTTCAAACTTCTCTTGATCTGTAACATGTTAAAGTTCACAATGACAAAAAAGATTTTTAAAAAATCCCCTGTAAGCGCTGTTGCTGGGTTGGTTTCATTACGCAGGAGACTTTGCGCGAACGCTCCGAAATGTTCTACTTTGCATTGATCTATTATTCGCAGCATCTGGACAAGATTTGGCTTTTTTCTGAATTGAGATGTGAAGGGGCGGCGGGTGCCGAGGCCGACTCTCTCCCCGCTGAAACAGTAGCATTCGGTCAGCTCCTCTGAGCATTGGCCTGAGTGAAGCTCAGGTCTGGAACTGATAAGTGGAAACAGACCGCCGCCGCGCTGCCTGTGTGTTTAAGGCCCAACACACATCCGACACAGCGTAAACAGCCCGTACCCCAGCGACTAAACCCTGGAGCTTAGCCATAATAACTCTACACCTCCGTACAGTAGACCCACCATATGCTTCTCGCTAAGTCGGGCTCTCTGTGCCAAGACGGGGCTATTGTTCTTTAAATAAACGACAAAAAGTTGCTGTAACCCCACAGTGGGGGGGTGTAGGACGGGTGGAGGGATTTATTGCTAAGTGGCTTTTAAAATGAAAACAAATGATTTCTCCCGGCGTTCTGGAATTTTCTACGGAGAGAGAGAGAGAGTTGTGGAAGCAAGCTGAAAAAAAAAAGAAGAAACGAGCGCAAAGCGACAACTACACAGCTGATGCTCCTGAAAGCCCCACACAATAACGAGGCGCTCCGGAGAGCTATTTTCCGCACGTCCCTTCATCCTCAAAACCAAACATGACACAGTATCCGCTGCCTCTCAGCGTGGAAGAGGATCCGAGTGGCAGACGGGCTGTTTTATGGTCTCGCTCTCTCTCCCCCCGGGGGCTAAGAATCCTAATGAAGTCCGATCGCAGCTTTATTAAGATCTAAAGGTGGGGTCTCGCAGTAAAAAAAAAAAAAAGAAAAGAAAACTTAAGAGTGTGTGGATGGGGGGGGGAAACAACCCCTCATTAACTCTATCACACCTCCAGAGCGGCAGGGAGACGTGACGGGGGGTAAAACATCGCACATCGCAGCGCTGTGTTCGGTTTGGCTCAAGAGCCGATTTAATTTAGTCCGAGCGTTAAAAAGAGTAAAAAATAAATAAGCTGATCAAACGTGGAGCAAAATTCCCACGTGGCTATTAGCCACAGTGTGCAAATTTGACAGCATTTGGCTCGCAGTCGGGGTTCATTTTGGTGCTAAGTCTGGATGTGCATGCAGCGGTTTGGAACGGAAGAGCGTCAGGTGGCAGAAACGAAAAAGACACGACTTCGAAACCAGAGAGAAGGCGACACGAGGAACACGACTGATAAAAGTTACGAGGAAAGCTGCGATTTGATCAGAAAATATGGTAGGGAAAAAGTGTTATATAAAAAAGAGTGTTTTACATGCATATAAGGAGAAACACATGCTGTTGAGTAGACGAGTCAGGGGAGGGGAAAACAAAACGCAGGCAGGAGGCTTGGGAATTCTGGAGTATTGATCTTGGAGCAATCGATGCAAAAAGTACCGATGGAGCGGCAAGCAGGGCGATTACTGGGTCACCACTGAGCTAAAATGGTTTGGTCTGGTTTTGAAAAAATAATCTCCTTGCTTGATAGATTCCTGTCATTAACATTAACTATATCAAATTTTCAGAAGAAGAAGCTCCTGAGCATGGCTAAAGCAGTGCTAGGTTGAAGATTCTCCAACAACAGTGACCTTTTTTTCATGCATCTCCTCTCTATCATTTCTTTCTTCTGCTTCCATTTAAATTTGAATTATAACAGAGTCAAGGTAAATCAAGACAGATGCAGAATAACCCAACTAAAACAGCTTCACTCCAGTCATAAATCCTAATCTAATCTAATTCTGCCACTGTTTTTGAGTAACCTCTGTGATCACAGATGGAGCTTTTTAAAAATATTTATTTTTGGTGACGTGCAAATTGATTATAAAATCTCAGTTTTGCAAAATATCTGTTTGGACCAGGGAAGGACAAAATAACATCAATAAAGCAAGAGTGAAAGATGTGAGCAGAAACATTTTTTAAAAAATGAACAAACGCATCTGCCAACTAACCTGAATCTGTTGCTGGAGAATGTTGATCTTGTGCTGCTGCTGCAAAAGCTGCTGCTGTTGTCTGGCAATCTGCACACACACAATGACAACAGAAATGATGTTATTTGTGACAAGTTGAGCATAAAATCTCAAGTTGTCACAAATAACAACTTGAGATTGTTATTTCTCAAGCCATATAAAATTCTGAAATTTTTATTTCAGAATTTTATATGATCCGGTAAAATAAAAACAAAGAAACAAAACTAAAATATCTCAATGTTTCTCATGTGCTATCTATATTGGCATATCCAGCTGATATCAGCATTTTAAATTGTCTGTTGAAGTAAGTTTAACTAAATATTATGAGCAAAAATATGAAAATGAGCAATTTCAGCTCGATAACCTGTTGTATGTGTATTTTGAAGCTATCGGTAAGCTGGGCTAGGAAACAACTACATTAGCATTGAAAAGTCAACCCAATGAACCATTTGTGTTTTAACATTTGGTTCCTCTGTGGTAAGAATAAATAATAGCAGCAATAAAAAGATAAAAACACTTTGTAAACAATGTCAGAATTCCACTAGTGGCTAACCATTAGCCTGCTGAAGTTAGCTTCTGCTTCATTGATTCCTGAGCGCTAAACTGAAGAGCTAACTGGATCAAAGTTGTAAATTTTTACAGTGGTAAAAACTGAATTGGATAATTCTGCACTGATTACAGATTATTGAAAGTAGTTTGAAAAATATTGAAATTTTTAACGTAATTTTACACAAAGAAAGGATTTTTATGCTGCTTTGATACGAGAACAAATTTTGAATGATAAAGTATGGAATATGGACTATTTTGGAACATTTGGGTCGTCAGTGGAAAATGGCAAATGAAAATAATTATCTATTGCTAACTGGCTTTTAGCCAGTTGCTAAATGTATCTAACTGCTAGCAACTGTTAGCTGATGCTACACAGTGGTAACCTTAAGGGCTGCTTTACTATATCTTAGGTAAATGTTGAGAACTTGATGATTTCTATTTCATAAATCCAAAGTTGCCATACTGATTAAACTTGGATTGAATTATTCTATGCTTATCACAGATTGATTATATTTTGTGAAATCAAAAGAAAATAAAGTAGAAGAATCTCATATCATCTTGAGAGCTAACTGCTAACTGTAAAAGATGCAAAACAAAACAAAAAGTTATATAAAGCTGTGGCTCACCTGAAAAGAAAAAAAAAAGATAGAAAAAAAGCTACTTGACCATGTGAGGTCGACGATATGTGCAACATCTATGTGGTAAAGTGGTTGGTTGATGAAGACATCTCAAGTTACAATAAAGCTTTGAGACTGACATGTTTTCAACACCTTGAAAACCTCTTATATATACTCAAACACAAGCAGCCATCATCCTCACTAACGTGAGATTGTTGAATGTCAAATGCTTTTCCTCTGGTTAAAGGCTTGAGTGTTGTCCAGTGATGGCTGGCACGGACCTGCCAGTTGTTAAAGCTCAGACTCCTTAAAGGAGGGAACTTGTTGTTTGACTACTTCCACCCATTTTTAGCACAAAAAAGGGGGGGAAGGAAAACAGCTGCTTCTCTCTCCTTTTTCTTTTTTTCTTGAGGAATCGTTTAGTATATTTATTCCGAAACATAATTACAGGCTTCTGAATGGGAGGCGGCGCCCCATTTGCACACATGTCATATTTCATTAAAAGCAGATTTTTCTGGGGTTTGTCTGTAGGGCATTATCCTATCAAGTCTCAACAGCCAAATGACTGGCTGATATTGGAATCTGTCTTTCTTTTCACTCTCCCCATTTCGCCTGCTCCTTTGTAATGCTCTGAAAGGTGGTATGTGTTTTGATGGGAGGTGTGGACGTGTCCAAACAGAGCCTGTCGTATGCCAGCCCACGGTGACATGTCGACAAACAGCCAAAACAAAGAGGAGCAGCGCACCTAAAACACCTCTCTGCTTGTGTTTGCTCTTTCAAACGTTTAGTCGTTGACCTGAAGACTCACATCTGGATTAACACACTGCAGCTGAAACTTCTAAAGTCAGCAAAAAAAGTCCATAAAGAATGTGTACATACACGAAAAAAACAAAACAAAAAAACAACAAGAGAGTACACTTAAGGGTATCGGCAGACGACATGAAGATTACCAAGGCATGATTGGGAGTTTTATAGACTTACTTAATAATGTGAAGAAACCAAGCAATTCCTTAAGCCTGACCACAAAAACAACTTTTTAATAGGAGCGCATTAAACTTAAGTAAGACTAATTTTGCTAATTACACATAGCAGTACCAGAAAAAAAAAGTAGCAGAGATCAAATATAATGACAATAAAATGTAAGAAGAAGAAAGCAGGTTTTCTTTTTGGGAAATCCTCATCAGAGGTCAATTCATTTTAGGAAAGCATATTTCCTAAACCTAGAAGAGTTTTTGCCTCCAATAATGCAACTAGTACACATCAGCTGGTCTTTCGATACATTTGTTGGGAGTTTTGTTGATTTATTTATGCATTACCTGCTTGGTTTCCTCTGTCAACATTCATTTCTAAATGAATTAATGAATCCTTGCTGTATCAGAGATGGTGATTCGAACTTCTGACTAGGAAAAACAATTAATTCAGATTCGACTTAGACTTACGTCTACTTCACATCACAGCTTAGACTGGGCCTGAAAAGTCCAACCCGGCCCAACCCAATCCGACCCAACTAATTAGCATCAATTATAGATCCAACATATTATTTTGATTAAGCTTTACTACTTTTGTTAGTAGACCATTGTTTGAATGAGACGTGTTATTTCTCCCGTTTTTCACTTTAACCATCTTTCGGCTCCGTTTCGTCACTCATTTTAACGACAAGATGAGTCAAAAGCAAATCATTTGGGATGTGCGACTGATAGGAGCGGAGCAGGGCAGAGTTGCGTGTTTTTATTGTGCAGTGCGTTGTGCCTGTTAGAGTCTAGTGAACATCTGCACCTTAATTTCTGTCTTTCCTCAACAGAGTTAGCTGCCTACTCCTACCTTTAAACTACGATAAGTAAATTACTGTAGTCTTCTGATCGTCAAAATATCAAATTTCGCTTTTCTGTGCTGCATCGATTGTAGGATTATTAAATGCACCACCAAGGCCTGAGTCCCATCTGAGCATCAAGCAAATAATTTCGGACTGACCTGGCCCAAATTTCAGTTCAGTCTAAATTATAGTTCACATGGAAAGATTTTAAAAGACCAAATGTGAGTTCAGAGTAAACAAACATGGCCGACTGGGAAGCAATGTCGATAGTTTGAGGACTGTTTTTAACAGAGAACAAACAATACAAAAGCGTCTTCGACTTTCTGGTCCGCCACAGCCGTCGTTTTACCTTTTATTTTTTTAGATCTCCCCTCCATGTGTTCGTCACCTTGCTGTCTGACTGACTACATGTCACATTCAACAGGCTGCTCAACAGGCTCATTTTCTCTTGAGGGACGCCACACGCTTCGATGTCGGGCCAAGACAATCCAACATGTTGAATATCAAAGATTTTTAGATCGGAGCGTTTCAAACGTCCTTCTGAGCGGAACAGGTCACTCTTATTCCTACACAGGAATATCTTAAGATCATCTTTAGAGCCATCCTGATAATCGGGGCTCGCAATTGGTCTCTCGTGTAGAACCCACATGGGTTCCTTGAAACCAATTATGAACCTTGAGACCCATCAGACCTAACAAAATCCAAATGACGTTCACATACACATGTTGGCTGGATTTGGGTTTGGATTTGTTTGGCTCTGCTGGTCTACAGCAAAACTGATTTTTATTATCTACCTTGGTACATCTATAAATACTTCTCATTTGAAAGTATCCATACTTTCAAACTGGTCTAGTCTATTTAAAATACGAGGTACTTTGACATGACCAGATGTATTTGACATCTTCTGAGTGGAGCTAGTCGAACCGTTCGGTGGCGTTGCCCACCAGCACCTGTCCGGATCGTTCCTACCTGCTCCTGCTGCTGCCTGGCCAACTCCATCTGCTGTCTCTGCTTCTCGAGCTGGGAGGCGGCCATCTTCTTTTGCTCGTCGTGGGCAGCCAGCAGCTGCTCCCGCAGACTAATCAGCTGACCGATCATGGTGGAAAGCTGGCGCTCCTTTTCCTCCAGCGACTCGGGCGTACCTGCAGACATATTTGTAAGTCAGTTTACTTTTACTCTGAGGCCATTAAACGAAACACAATAACAATGACGGTTGCTAAGATCACATCGAAATTATCGGAGAATGAAAAACGCGTAGAAATTTATTCTGACAAATCAAAAAAGAAAAGTTGAAAGCCAGATGATAACATTATTAGGAAATTCTCCAGAGTCTGAAGTTCATTAGGGTGTTTCTTTTTCTCCAAAATTTCACAATGGAAGCACTCCTTTCACAGATACCAGAAGAAAAAAAATTCCAAACAACTTGTTTGGCCCCTTGAAAAATGCTCATACCTCAATTCCCATAAATCTTCTGACTTGTTGTTACATCTCACTACTTATTATCTTCAGTCTTGTCTCTACATGCTATCAACCAGTGTCTGCTCACAAGAACAATAAAATTAGATTGAGTTCACCTTTTGAAAATGGGTTGATGTTAAAGACTTTTGTCGGGTTTATGATTTAGACATTCTTGAGAGGTTTGTGGGCCGACACCAGAAACATTCCAGCTCCAACTCCGCAGTCATAATATTTCACACGATAGCAAAGACAAAAGACGAGACGGTGCGGCTAACATTTGCCTTTTAATTGACAAAGGAGCAGAAGATTTCAATAGCGCTTGAAGGAATTCTTCTCTCTATGCCTTTGTGTCTTTCATAATCTTATACTTGACTTATTAACACCAATTCTAGTCAATAGTAAGTGGGAACATTTTGTGGTGTAAAAGTTAAGTGAGACAAATCAAAACCTGCTGGTGGGATGCCAGGGAGAGTGGGGAAAAAAAGTGTAAATAAAAAAACTGCAAAAACCGACTTACTTTATTTGTAAGGATTAACTGACAACCACTCTCTTTGAGGAGGGACAACAGCTCGTTAGCTTGGTTGAAAGAAGCTGGAAAGTTGAACCAAACCATATCTCCAGGCTCAATCATTTCTCAGCAAACAATCAAACCGCTGTACAACCACAAACATCCTTATCCGTCAGCAGCAGAGGAGTCGACAATACACTGCAGCCCTGAGTTCAGTCACAGCAAGTCCAGCTCTAAACCCAACAGGTCCTTGGAAATTACCAAGAGAAAGCAAACCAATGAAGAAGAGGAAGAAAATATCCGTACTCATACAATAACATGTGTTCTCCAACTGCTGTGATAAGGTTAAATGGTATCCTGTATGTTTGACACACATTGTTGACTTCATTGACTGCTATGGTCAGGCATTACAAATGTGGAAGCCGTGTTGTTACCACAAGAAGGTGATGTGGAAGCAGCATCATGTCTACCTAATGCAACGAAACAAAAGGAAGTTGAACTGGACTGTTCATTAATCATCCTGTGCATAAGGAAAAAAATGATTCACTTTTACCTAAATAAACAAAACAGGGCAACAGGTGATGCATCTGTAGTCTACATAGTAAGAAAAGCAGCTTCAATGTTTTTGTGTTCGTGTCATTAAAGACGTACATTTTTCTAACTTTGTCTGCAACAAGTTGTAGAGCTCAGATGCAGCTTCCTTCATTTTGATTGACTGTGTGTGTGTGTGTGTGTGTGTGTGTGTGTGTCCCCCTGTTGGTATGTAAATCTTGCACATGGACTGAAGTTTATCATGTTCAGAAGTTGCTGTCCTTGTGTATGCGTGTATGCGTGTGTGTGTGTGTGTGTGTGTGTGTGTGTGTAAGGTCTTGCCTTGGGGCCATGTAGGGAGACTGTAGGGTGGCCCCCAACACTACCTGCATACTAACAAAGTCTCCATTGTGGTCTTGTCAGGCCACTATTGTACCCCAGACTGTCCTCCAACACACACTCTCATACACACACACACATGCAAGCAGAGAAATTACCCCTCAGCAGCCCTGACTCAAAGACAACATTCTTCTTTTCTCGTCTCTTTTTAAGTTTTCATTTTCTTCTTGATTCTTACTTAAAGTCCTGCATATTGCAGTTACCTCCAAGTTCAGATTCTCCCTAATGCCTCGTCTTTCCTCCTGTTGTGATTTACCCCACTCTCCTCGAGTTTTCTCATTTCCACCTTTTCCACGTTTGTGTCTCATTTAATTCTCTAGTTTCTTTTAGACTTTAGTCTTACTTCACTCCTTTATATCATTTATACATTTCAAGCCTTCTGCTTTTCTCCTGCTCCTTCCTTCCGTCTCTATCTTCTGTCATCAACACCTTCCTCTCTTCTCAACTCTAAACGTCTTTCTCCTGTTCTTCCCTTTGTAACTCTTCATCACCCATCCATCCCTTCTATTCTTCTCTCTGGCTGGATTTTCACTGATGGATGATCTATAACCATATAACCACACACACACACCAAAAAAAAACAGACTTCTTCTGTGTTTCCCCACGTGTTTTTTTTTTTTTTTTTTTTTCAAAAAGAAAACTTTTTTTGAATCTCAAAAAATGGGATTACGGCTCCCTGAT